GGGGGGCGGGATGGGGTGGAAGGGGTGGTAAGGATACAATCCAATCTATAACAATAACATGGGCTGTGAAAAACAAAAGGTAAGAGTGGTACAAAGGGGTTAAATGTATTGTAGCACGTGCCCAGGTGAAAGATCTATTTGTATTAAGAATTGATTTGTTTGTGTTAAATACTGGATCAAAGCTTGCTTTTGGGAGTCAACCAGACGTGAATTCAAATCTTAGTTCCACAGTTTGTCATGAGGCTTCACACATGTAGTTTATTTTTAGTATTCTTACTTTGTCAAACTGGTATAGTACAACTTTGTATTTTTGTAGGAATTAGTACTAGCCATGCGGAAACCATTTAGGGTGCTTATTGTACTTAAATTTTGACTGTGAGATTCTCTAAGACCTAACTCCTATTGTTTTGCAAATACATTTTATCACAGTTTTCCTTCCATAGTTTATAGTATAAACTGATTTAAGAGGTTAACTTGCTAAGAAAAATGAATGCAAGTACCATCTGTTATTTAAATGGAGTAGATGCACTGGACCAAGGAAAAACACAAGCACTACCCTCTAGTGGCACATCTGAGTAACTTCATTAAAAAACAAAACAAAGTGCCAGTGAGGTGGGAGTCTTGGTGTCATATTGGTTGTGCGTTGAGCAACGATGGTCAAGGTCAGCAGTTTTAAACCACTAGCTGCTCTGTGGAGAAAGACAGGACTTTCTACTCCCATTAACAGCTACAGTCTTGGGATGTCACAGGGGCAGTTCTACCGGATCCTATAGGGTCCTTACGAATCGTTGACTTGACGGCAATGAGTTAGCTGTCAGTCAATTCAAGCTCAGAAACCCAAACACAGTTTCATTGATGCCGACTGGATTTCAGAGAGAGCCACCGGGGCTTCTGGCTGTCTATATACACAGAGAATGCCTTTTAAAAAAAGAGTGAATGTAAACTTACCATTTTAAAATACAGCAAATGTGTTTCTCATAATGTTATTGACTGCATGTCCCTGTAAGACTTCTTACAGAATTAATTTTATAAAACAGTGGAATGTAAAAGTCGAGAAAACAACAGCAACAGGTTCTTAGACTCAGCCCAGGCCTGTGGAATCAGGGTCACTTCTCAGGGTGGCTTAGCCTGCTGTCTTTGGTCAAGCTCTGCAGGTGAAGCGGACGTACTGTAAAGGTTGATATTGGGAGGCTTCTCCAGAGCAGTGCTGCATTTCAGGATCAATTTTTGTGCCACGCTATTTTTTCAAGAATGCTTGAACAACTAGCTGTCTTGGAAGACAGAGATATTGTCTTTCTCCAAGATGTAAGGCACATTTGCTCATGACCAATGTCACAGAGATCATGCCTCTCTGTGTGGCAAAGAAAGGGCAGCTTTTCTGGCGACCCCACTTGTAACTTTTGTGAACACTCACTCCTCTTTATACCAATGCTGGGAACCAAACACTCAACCTTATTTATATTTACTACACTAAGCCCTGCCAGTACATGATCATTACACGATCCAAAAAGCAGAGTTACATAAAACACGAGTTTACAATATGGTGAGGATTAATAAAATCTTCCGGGGAGCCTGAGCTTTCTAGAAATTCTACAAGTTTGGAGGAACCATGTTTTAGCACCAGTTGGTGGCAGTTACACATCTTGACTGAAATTGATCATTTAAAATATTTGTAGACCCAGTGGTTGACAGGATGATGACAGTGATTTTAAAGACCTGACCTGCTTTGTGGGTCAGACCCAGGGACAGGAGAACGGAACAATACCAGAATGCAGGGAGTGAGTGCGGTCTGGCTGCTACACCTATCAATCACCTCATTGATTGCCAAGGTTGATTCTGGTGAGTGGCTGGCTGGCTGGGTGTCCCCTTCCTCTCTCACTGCTCCATGTGATTCTTTCCTAAAACGGCACATGGTTGAAGAGGACCGGTTTCCCTGCTGTAGTATATGAGTAGTTGCACTTCCCTGTCAGACCCTCCAACCAAGCTTTCTAGGCACCAACATGTAGGGTACCCCCGTCACCTCCCAATTTCCTGAACACTGGTGGCCTGTTCCTTCCAAGTCTACCCTTGATTTTAATATTCTGGGGCTGGTTGGGTTGCTAACTGCATGGTCATTATTTCAAAACTACCAGCCTCTCCTCAGGAGAAAGAACTTTCTACTCTCCTAAAGAATTACAGTCTTAAAAACTCACAGGGACAGTTCTTCCTTGTCCTATAGCAGTGGTTCTCAACTTTCCTAAAGTCACGGCCCTTTAATACAGTTCCTCATGTTGTGGTGACCCCCCCGCCCAGCCATAAAATTATTTTCGTTGCTACCTCATAACTGTCATTTTGCTACTGTTATGAATTGGGGAGCCCTGTGAAAGAGCCATTCGATCCCCCCAATGGGTTGTTCGAGGGTTGCTATGAATCAGCATCAACTCAGTGGCAGTGAGTTTGATCTTGGAATTGGGCACCAAACAGTAAAAGGGAACTATTATACCCAAATGTGCATTGTCTTAGGCTTAAACATGTAAAGCAGTGAGTAGTGGCTGTACTGTCCTTAGAAAGACTGAGCTTAAATGTTCATAAGAAGCACTTCACTGAGGACCAACCCCAAGTCTGCTATTCGGGCAACTGTCAGTACTCAAAGCTCAACATCTAAACTGAATTAAGAAACAGGAGGAAAGCACGGAGGAGGTGTGAAGTTTACCTGCCCAGGAAGGTGTTACCTCGGGTGTTTCTAGAGGAATGTCCAAAGGAAAAAACATCATATGTTTAAAAATTAAAAATAGAAAATGGGACTCTTTTTGATGCCAATATATTTCAAAAGTCCAACTTACAGAAAGAGTATTACATCTCCAATATGACAGAAAATTATGGTGACAAAAAAGGATCTTGTGGGAAATAAAGGAAATAGATGATTTTTAAAATCCAGAACTACTTTGAAACCCTTGCTATCACAGAAACAATCTCGTTGTAAATTTCTTGAGCAGCATTCACTGCCCAGATGAAGTTCAAGTGGTTGTATGGAGCAATCTTCTTGGAGTAAATGACATTAGAGAGTCTGGGAAGCAAAAGGTCAACATCGTGGGGATCAGCCAACCAGTCGTTTCCCCCGCTCCACACTGCAATCGGCACTCTCATGGCGGTCATGTTGTGGAAGGGAGGGGTGGGCTTAAAAACAACGAAGAAGAGGACGAGAGGGTTTTCAGAGGTGGCCAAGCTTCCTGCGAGTCTGTCTGCATGCTCAGGTGCTACTGATGCTTCTGGTCGCTGGGCATGCTTTACATAATAAAGCCTTAGGCAACAATGCTCACTCATTAAAAACCTGGGTTTTCTACCCCACTTGAAGGAGGTGAATTTGATTGCATTCTAATTGCAATGAATTATCTGGAGCCATTTATTTTGTTTCTATTTGCTTACAAGTGGGGTCATCTGGTTTTATTAAACCTTGGTCCAAATTATTAGTGACTTTCCTGTTTTCAGAAAATGAGCATCCATGTATAGATTTAAAGGATATTTATATAGTAGGAAAAGGTAACTAGAAAACCAGTTCTCATTTTCCAACTGCCTCATGGAGATGTTTTAGTTTTGTTAGAACATACTCAAAAATACTAATCCAACATAATACTTTTTTTGTTCTAATCCATGTAATAGCCAATCTTCCTTAACAAAATACCCCAGTCTATGTAATTTTTCATAGTATTTTAATATGTGCTATTATGTTTCCAGGGGCTCTCGTGGCCCAGTGGTTTAGTGGTACATCAAACTCACCAGCTGCAGGAAAAGCCGAGGCTGTCTGCTCCTGGAAGGATTTACACTACAGTCTTGAAAATCCTAAAGAGCAGTCCTACTCCAATCTATAGGGTCCTTGCGTCAGAATAGGCACACTAGTAAACTTACTCTCTTTTACTGAGGATGTTCCAAGAATCTCCTAGATGCTAACACTTCACTCTAAAATTAGTGTCACTGCCTCAGTTACTTGAAGACCAAGATGGCCTGTCCCTGGATTGGTTAGATGAAGGACAGCTATAGGGATGGGGTTTCCAGGGTCTACTTGGCCCTCCAAGGTGAAGCCATCTTGTGACTGGTAACAGAGCCAGGTGAAAGGATGGATTCGAAGCAAGCCTGTATTTTGGAAAGTTGAGGAGGCAATGGTTGGAAGGGCAGGAGAAATGTGTTCTGGAGGGGAAAATATAGTATTTTATAATACTCTGCTGAACACTTCTATAAATACATCAAAGGTATAAATAAAAAGCTGGGCATCTTTTTTATACCTAGAATATTATTGTGAGTATATATAAATTCCTACCAAACATTAGTCAGGAATAAAAATTAGTAAGAGTTCTTCAGTTACTACTTAAATGAAAGAGTTGAGAGTAGAATGAGAAGAAGAGGGCTCCCCCCAAATTTTAGGATAATTTCTTGTTTACCATTAGCCAGCGGTAATCTAAGAATTTACACTGAGTTAAGGCTAATAAATAGTGTTCTATTAGATTATTTCAATTACTGTCTTCTGAGGGTGGGCAAAGAGATGGGAGAAATCATTGCAGAAGCTTTCAATGATCCCAGATGGGATGAACTCCAAAGCCTGGGTTCTTTGGACAATAACAAGCAGCGAGGTTGGCTAAAGACTGGACTCAGTGAAGCCAACGCAGCATCTCTGCCAATAGTATGATGATACTGCCCTTGTCTGCGGATTGTAACTCCACGCTCGACCTGCAAGTACATCTCCCATCTATCTGGAAAGTCTCTCATTGAAATCACTCAATCTGGTTAGACAACAGAATACAAGACATTGTTAAGAAGAGAGGGATTCCACCTCTATCTCATGAATAGTTAGAACAATGAATTTCTTATAATTTAGGAAAGAGAACGGAACGCTGAAGGAACGAGACACATCACAATTGTGCTTTATGAGTGTGTGCGAGGAGGAAGTCATAAGTTCTGTGAAGGATCTTGTGTGTGTGTGGGGGGGGGGGTGGTGTGGTTTTTTGAGAGCAACTTTTTAACCCAGTTGGTGAAGCAGGACAGCACAGTTATACGGAAGACTGGCAATCTGGGGTAAGATTTGATGTGGTGAAGGAAATTCAAGAAAATAATGATCTACTTTATAATTTCTGGGTCTATTTCAATGGAAAAGATACTCAAATTTTTCATAATTTCTTCTTAAACATTTTTAAAATGTTGTCTTTCAAAAGTGAATAATTTCAACTTTAAGATGCTTACCTGAAAACAAAAAAATAAAAGATGCTTACCTGATTGTAGTGCATCTTGTTCTGAACAGGGCTTCCCCAGTCAAAAGCTTGGAATTTCCCAGAACTAACAGCCTAAGGTAAGGGTTGTGGGGTAGAGGGGGATGGGAAAACAAGAAGCTTGACAATTAGCAAATTCACAGAAGCACAAAGAAATAGAACTCTTCTCACCATGACAAAAATAAAGCCCAATAATTTCCAGTAGGTATAGCCTCAACTTAAACAATTATTAGAAAATAGTTGCATTTCAAAAACAAAGTTTATTGCTCACCCAAACCCAGGAATTTATGCAACTTTAACATGCAGCTGTGCTTGAAATATTTTTTTTCTGTGTAAAAATCATTCATTTCTGTTATTTTGTTACTTGAAGTATCTGTTTTTCTAAGACTTTCATTCCCATGGATCGATTGTTACTTTCAGCTGGTATTCACTTGCTAAAAATACTTCCTCTGAGGGGTATTTGAAAGTCCAAGGGCTCAGGCCTGTGGTAGTTGGATGGGTGCTTTCACGTCAACTTGAAGATGTGTGAAAGTGTAGGGGTGGAATCCAACCTGTAATCGGATCACAGCCTAATGATGCTTCCTTGGGGGTGTGGCCTTTTATAAGCGGGGAGAAAGCAAGAATCTCCCTCACTCTCTGCTTGTTTGCCTTCCTGCTTGCTGGAACTCTGACCCTGACCACAGGAGCTGCTGGTGCCCTGCCATGTTTCCACCGACCTTGGATCGAAATGACTTTGTACCCAACAGCCTGTGATCTTGTGATCTTCCTGCATTCTGCATCATTGCCTCTGGCTGCATGAGTCTGAAGGGGGACTTGTGGACTAGTATCAGACTTATGGACTAGAGTTGCACTGTGCTAGGATGCGTTCTTAAAAAAATAATTTAACCAATATTATGAACTGATACCTGGGACCAGTGGAGTACATTTTGAACAGAAGTTCCTGCTGGATTATGTGATAGATAAACATCCAAGCGGCTCTAGGGAGCAAATAAACATGCACTTAGACACACATATTGTTTCTCTATAGGAAATGTTGAAATTGTCAAGAATGTCGCATTACATAAATCCACAATCAATGCCTATGGAAGCAGCAGTCAATGAATCAAATGATATATTACATAGGGTAAAATTGTTGCAGTAGACCTCTTTGAGACATTGCTTTGAGGATTAATGCTTTATATGCTGTTTATTTAAAGGCATATTTGAGGTAATGGGAGAAAGGTGGAAGTGGTAAAATTGAAAGCAATGATTTGTGATTTCTTTGGGGTTTATCTACCTATCGTGGACATGATTCTGAAGTTACTCCTCAGGAAATACTCTTTAGAATTGATGACAGGAAAAGAACTCAAAGATATTTCTCGAACTATTCAGGATAGAAACTGCAATGGATACAAACCGTGTTCAAGTTCTGACTGTCGAATCCACAAATGATAAACAAGGCATTACTGCAAAGTTTATTTAATGTCTGGCGGGAGCACACTTCCGTAGCAAGAAAATCATCCAAAAAATGGTGTGGATAGAACATTTTGTTACCAAAAATAATCTGAAAGATAAAAGCATCATTCGAGGCTTATAGCAATCAAACTGCAGAAAAGACTCCATTTAAAATAATTTTATCTCTACACAACGTAGGTGCTAGTTCCTTAGTTCGTAGAAATTTCACAGTGCCTTAGAAATTTCAAATACTGTCTCTCACTCCGTTCCCTCAACAAAACAGTGAAATGGGCAGATATTACTGTGAATTGTCTAGCTTCATTAACTAGTGGATGGTGTGAGGCAGCAGAAAACACGAAGTGTTGAAACCAGCTGCGATGATGAGCCTAATGAAGTAAAACTCTCACTCGTAGGCCCTCCCCTTCCATTCACTTTCTTCCCAGTTCCCATGGCTCAGGTCAGATACTTTTCACATCTTTGATTTCTCCTTCTCCACTCTAGGAGTGGAATCACAACCTTGATGTTTCTGAATAGGGTGCTTAATAAATCAAAACATCTATAAAAAAAATCCCTATAAAATCCTCCCATCCCTCGCTATCTTGTAAAAGCTAATCAAGAATAAAGACAATTGTCAGGATCTCATAGGCTATATTGGGCATGAAAGCTGGCTAATAAATAATACCACGTGTGCATTCATAGATACCAGTAAATGATTATTTAGCAATTTCTTCTTCTTCTGTTCTTGCTTTGAAATCCATGGTGATTTGACATCTTACATTCAAGTCAATGAAAGAGAATCACACACCTTGAAGAGGAAGGTGGGAACGAGTGAGAGCTTGTTTAAAAGGCTTTTGGTGTACTTCACCATGGCCACTGGAGCTAACGCATAAAAGGTTTTGATTCTTTTGGCCAGTTTGGGATTGGTGGAAAAGGCAATAAAACCTGAAGGAGACCAAGGAACTGGTTTATAAAGTGTGTTTGTGTCACTGGTTCTTGTTGGTTTTATAAGTATAGCATTATATTGGATTTACTAAGGTGGCATTTGAGAAACTCTGAAAAATTGGCACCTCTGCTTATACTACTTACTGCCCTTGAATAGATGCTGACTCATAGCGCCCCTAGAGGGCAGGCAAGAACTGCCCCTGTGACTTTCCAAGACTATAACTCTTTAAGGGAGTGGCTGGTGGTTTCAAACTGCTGACTTTATGGTTATTGTTAGTGCAATGCATAACCACTTCGCCACCAGGGTCCCTATGTAAAGCAATCATATGTTAGCCTTTCTGTTTTATTCTTAAAGAGTTTATATGTGATAAGAAACTAGAATTTTAAATATATATATAGAAAGCTCTTTCATCTGGATTTATAAGTCAGCTATAATTAGGGCTATCATCTAATAACACAGTTATTAATACTGTGAAAAGTTTTAATGAATTTAAGTACAATTTGAAAATTACCACTTAACATGAGTAGGGCATATAAGTAAAAAGTTTAAAAACACAAATTTGAAATCTGACCAAATTGGTTTTGATGATTGGCTCTGTCATCTATCAACTTTGTGACTTGGGCAACACTAAACTCTGAGAGCCTCGAAGTTACTCATCTAAATAGGAGGCTAATATTGTTTCATTAGATTGCTTAGGAACTAACCATAAATGAGGTGACATATGTACCAAGGTACTGGGAACACAGTCAATGTTTGACAGTTGAATAGCCAAGAGAATTCCAGCACAGTGGGTGAACAGCAAGGTCAGCTCTTTGAAACTACTAACCCCTCCAGGAGCGAGAGAAAAGACTTTCTACTCTTTAAAGATTTGCAGCCTGGGAAACTCACAGGAGTTTCTACTCTGCCCCATAGCATCACCATGAGTTGGAATTGACTCAATAGATCTAAGTTGTTATTTTAGTTTTTTAATATACCACAGACACCTATAACTCAACCTATAACTAACTTGTTTCCCAAACAGTATTGTATTAGTATACTGGGCTGTGATAAAAAAAAAAAACTTATTAAATTACATTTTATATAATCTAATTGCTTAGAATGATCCACCCCACTGCTTATAATGAAATATTGTGGATGTGACATATTTACTACCTGTATTATTTTGCACAAATTATTTACCCTCCTTCCCCCTTTGCTTTGTCCTTATATTACTGAATTGTGTGGAGATCTCTTTTAACGAAAAAACTTAGCTTGGTATCCAGCACACCTACCCCAGTGAACTAAACTACCAGGCTTAGATTGCCTATACATACCAATGGTGGTCCCCTGGGAATGGCCAACATAATGTAGACTCTCCTGTCCAGTTTTCTTTACAATGAATTTGATTGTGGCTGGCAGGTCATATTTAGCCATTTCATCAAAACTACAATTTCAAAAAAGCACAAAATAAAACTTAATGTATGTCCTTTCTAAGGTTTCTAACAAAGCAAACATATTTGTAGCTAAAGTTCCCATGGACAAGCAGCAGTTAGATTCTCCAAATATGTCCACCTATAGAGCATTCATGAGCCTGAGGTGCCCTCTGAGTGGCTTCCTCATCACAATCCTGTCCTTTCTGAAGCCTGGCATTAGAAATGCAATTAAAGTTATAAAAGTTAGTATCTGTATGCCAGGGATTATTTCTATCCCAGAAACGGCATATCAGATTTAATAACCATTTATATGCTCTACCCCTTAGAAGTGAGAATGGTCTCACTTAGTCACATATACTTTGGACATGCTATCAGGAGACAACAGTCCCTGGCAAAGGACATCATGCGTGGTGAAGTATGAGGGCAAGGAGAATAGAGAGAAACCCTCCACAAGATGGATTCATACAGTGTCTGAACAATGTGCTCAAATATTTGCGAGGACGGTGCAGAACCAGGTGGTGTTTCATTCTCCTATACGTTAGGTCACTCTCAATCACACTTGACCTCAGCAACAACATACTATGTTCCAGTGGCATTTAATAGGAATCCTTCCCCTTTCTGTTTCAGTTGTCATAAATCAGCCAGAATGGTCTTTGGAAAAAGAAAACTGGATATGGAACGTCCCTGTGCTGTTCATTGTATCTCGAGTGAGCTCCAAGGCTCTCAGGAGGTCATCTCACCCCTGCCTGATCTGCCCCTCCAGTCTCACCTTCTGTGGCGTTCTCTCTTCCTTATCACCACCTGGCCACAATGGCTTCCTTTCCATTCCTAGACAAAAGGAGCATTCTTGTGCTTCAGCTTCAACAGAATAACACTCCCCTATCTTTCAACTCCAACAGTAGTTTCCAGTAATAAGGAAGCAGGCCAGTGAAAGAAAACCTTTTGTAATTTGAACTCTCTATATGGTGTCCAAAGTTCATCTCCCCCTGCCCTTGAGGGTGATCCAGGTTTCTGATCCTCCAACCCTCAGTTGAGTGTTAACATCATCTGGAATGTGTGTGGATGATCCTTTGAGGATCTGAAGTGGAAAGAGAAGTTTCTTGCTTCTGCCATATTGTTTATTCCATTTGGAAAACCATAGTCAGCAATTCCTTTAGAGTGAGTACTGCGAAAGGAAAGTGAAGGTAAAGCTACCCTTGGGACAGAATATATGGAAGAATGCAATAAGGTATTAAAAGAGAACTAAAGTCCTTCTTCTAATACTGGGAATATGAGTGGGTACCCCGCCCCCCCAAACCCTAGAATTTTGCTGGGTGGATTGAAGTTTTCACAGTACACATTTTTCTCACTAGGCAAGCATTGAACAACTCAGTCTGAGTTAGTGCACCTAGTGGCACCACCTGGGAAGGTTCTTTCTGTTCACAGTGAATTTTTTTTCATAAAAGCAGTTTTGGCCGAACCTCATTTTTTGTGGTGGTCAATTTAAAAGAACAGTGTGCAGCTGTGAAGTTATGTTTCCTGATCAGTAAAAAAGCTGCAGAAACTATTGTGATGTTGAACACAGCTTACAAAGACAGTGCTATGGGAAAAACTCACGTGTGCAAGTGGTTTTCTCTTTTCAAAAAAGGTGAAATGTTGATTGATGACAAACCTTGTTCTGAACATCTGTCAGCTTCCTGAATGGATGAAAACATTGACTTGTAGTGCATTTTGGAGTTTACTCCACCATATCAGACTGCTAATCAAGCTATCTATTTAGAGGTTCTGAAAAGATTGCAGTGTGCATCAAAAAAGCCTGGATTTGTGGCAGACAGGGAATTGGTTTTGCCACCACAACAATGCACCTGCTCCCACAGCCATCTCAGTGTGCCAGTTTTTGGCAAAAACAGCATCCCTATCTTACCCCATGCACCTGACTCACCTGACCTTGCTCCATGTGCCTTCTTTTTGTTTCCATGAAAGAAGAGGGACATGAAATGACAGTGATTTGATGACATAAAAGAGGTGAAGAAAAAACAAGGGAGGTGCTGTTTGCCATCCAAACAGATGAGTTTGAAAAATGTTTCCAAGAATGGAATCGTAGATTTGATACAAGTATTAAGTGTAATGGAGAGTACTTTGAAAGTGATAAGATTCTTTTGTGAAAAAAAAATTAAATGAATAGCTTTAAAAAATATCCGCTTTCTTTTTGGTACCTTCTCATATAATTTGTCAGTGTAGGGTGAGATTGGAAAAAGGAAAATATCCATGAATTCTTATAACCCAATATACACTTATAACTGCTTATTTTTTATTCTTTCTCTTCGTTACCTGAAAGCCCATAATTCCACTGAGTCTGGTGAATAGTATATATTTCTCCTGGCATAGGTATTTCCTCTGCTGTTTCCAAGCCACACATCAAAACCAGCATCCGCCAGAATGAAAGCAAGACTGTTGTTAGGGAGATTTGAAATCCAGTTTGTGGCTGATGTGAGCAAGCCATGCTGCAGAAACACTACAGGCCTCTGGCCTAAAGAAGGAGAAAAAAATAAGTATTGCAAACACACTCCTTAACGTCTATATAGAAAATTATCTGTCTGGATAGAATTAGAATACCCAGAGACAATTGTGAAGCTCATACCATGTCTCTGATTACACATTAAATATGTTCATTTGGTTGAGTGATTTTTAATATTCGCAGTGTGGCGAGCTAACCTAAAGTTTGATGGTTTGAAATCACCAGATAATTCACAGAAGAAAAGTATCAGCCTGTTTCTGTAAAGATTTACCACCTTGAGAATGCTATAGGAGTAGTTCAAGTGCGTCTTAGAGGGCTACTGTAAAGTGGAATTTGCTTAGCACCCAATGACGGCAGTGCCAGAAACGAGCAGATTTTATGCTTTAAATATGTAAAGTTTATTGTATGCCAATTATACCTTGATTGTGTTTGTAGTTGCTAGGTGCCGTTGAGTTGATCTAGACTCAACACCTGTGACAGCGCAGCAGATTGTCTAGTCTCTAATGTAAAGCTGCAGAACAAGGTATTTTCTAAGGGAATACAGCATTATGTTAAGTGTACTCTGGAGATTAAGTTATAGATGGATTTTCTCTTTCTTGTTTTTAATCTTTTATAATTTTTCTGCAATGACACAAAGATGAATTTTTACAATTGTATCAAAAATGGCTTTTTTTTCTGTTCAGGAAATGAGACTTAAATGGTCTCCCTCCCCTCTCAGCTGCAACACATCATCTGGGTCACTTGTCCTCATTCTCAAAGACCCAGTTCAGTGATTGCCTCTCAGAGAAAACTTTCCTTGACTTCCTTAGACTAGGTTTGGTGCCCTCAAATTGATACCATTTAATATGACCAGTTTATATTCTGTGTATAGTTTTACTGTTGAATTCATTGTATGTTACTTAGAAGCATCTCCTTACTTGTCAATCTCTCTCAGAGTAACAAGCCTCCTTGACTACATGGGTGAAGTGTCTGGAGGTCTGGAACGTCAGCTCCATTGTTATTTTATTTCCAGAATGAGCAAGGCTCACCAAAATTGTAGGGGGAAATCAAAGGAGAGAAGAACAGAGATACAAGGGAGAAAGTCAGGGAGGGAAACTTGATGAGGAAAGAAGGAGGGATGAAGAAAGAGGAAAAAGAACAGAGCAAAAAACCTTTGTTCTCTGAATTTTTCCTCCCATGAGGAATTCGATTGATTTCAAGAATATAACCGTCTTCAGTCACAACTTCATAGTCTTCATTTGGGTTTCCCCAGTAGGTAATCATCTGACTCTGATGAAGAGAAATAAGAACGTTAAGCTTTAGATAACTTTTGAAAACGGATCTACTAAGTGGAGATTCTTCATTATTTTTTAGTTAGCTATGTTCAAGCTTAACCCCATCACCACGATAAAGGATAGTAATAGTTCATAGTTTGTTGTTGTTGTTGTTGTTGTTGTTTGGCTTCCCTGTCATGCATAACTTACAATGTTCATAGTTACTTCAGGGCTCTCAGGTGTTAGTTTTCCAAGGAAACCATTTACAGTTCCAAGTGCTGATATTAGACTTCCCACTGTTAAAAGCGACCACATTTTGGACCTGTCTAAAGCGACAACAAAAAATACCATGGTTAACCCATTGTACCTTCATGCTTGTTGCATTTTGTGTCAATTTTACTTACATGCAATATAGAGGAATGCTTAGGTTGGATTATATTTTGTTGGGCAATAAAGTGGGACATGCGGGCATCAGTGCAGGCATTGTAATGCTTAACATGTTTTTACTCTATTTCTTTAAGAACATTGTACACTTTTCAGGTTTTCAGGTCATATCAAAGGAATCTTATTTGACAAAGTATTCTGATTTGCTGGCACATATCATATTTTTATACTGTTTCTTGCTAAGGGCATTTGCCAATTAATTTTGAGAATCCAAAATGGGACAGGAGTGATGGGGGCTGGTATTTGGTTTCTGTAGAAGTCATATAATGGCATTGAATAGTATCACACTGTATTTAATATTGTTTCTAATTTTAAATATATATTGCTTTTAAATAATTCTGTGGATTAAAAAATCCACTGTCACTTTATGAAAATCTTACAATAACTAGAGTAATATGTGAATATAATTTCAGGAAGATTGTTGATTGCTCATCTGGTTTTTGCTTAGATATTTTCTATTGAAATTACTTAGGTAGCTCTTGATAACTGTAAATATAGGCCTACAGAAATCACTGTCATTGAGTCGATTCCAACTCATAGCGTCTCTGTCAAACAGTAGAACTGCCCCTGTGAGTTTCTGCGATGAATTCTCTCACAGAGTGACAAGCCTCAGCTTTCTCCCACAGAGTAGCTGTTCTCAGGTGCATGCTGCCACGTGGTAGCATAATAGCAGTCACTAACATTTACGGAATGCTCACTGTTTGCTGAGAACTGTGATCACCATTTTACATAGGTTAGTGAGTTACCTTCACTTAGATAATTTCCTCATTAATAAAATAGGCTCCATAATAGTGAATATCCAGGAGTTATGAGAGTTCATTAAGATGATAAACATTCTTAACATGTCAGACACATCCCAAATACTTAATAAAGAGGCCATAATCTCATTTCATTTTCATAACAGCATTATGGAGTAGGTGATGTTACATTCTCCATGTTATAAATGAACAAACCCAAAATGAAAGAGATGAAGAACTTGTGCCTCCATCCATGGAGAGAAAGCAGCAAAACCCATAAATGATACCAGATTGTCTAATTCCATAGAACTCCCCACTGCAATGTTGCTTTAGGATGACCCTACACCAGCTCCCATAAGGAACTACTTGGGACAAAACTAGACAGATTTATATAATGTGGTCTAAATTTCTCTTTTGAAGAATTAGAATTTTAAGAAATTAGTATCTTAGGAAGTTTCACAGTGATATATTCTGAACTTTTAACCACAGTTGATGTGAATGGGATGTAATTTTTCAATTTCAAAAATCAATACAAACTTGTCGTGATAATAAGAGTCATGGCCTATTCTTTTCTGAAATGGATACTAAGAGATTATAACATCAGGTTTTACATGAGGTAGTCATTAGAAAACATTGAAACAATGAACAAATCTGTTATTCAGTAATTAAGAACGTTCTGTGTTAGAGACAAGACAGGAGAAACCCTAGAGATTAAACCCTAATTCTAGAGACACAGAGATGATGAATGTGCAAAAAGTATCTCAGCATTTCAAAAGGGCAACTTTGCCTTAAGGAAAATAAATTAATGCAAATATACTTTACCTCAGCAAAATCGTACTTACGGTCTGCTCAACAGAGTAAGGATTATGTTTCTCTGGATGTTTACTGTTTTGGTTAATGCTTATATACAAAACCTTGACAATGGTCAGCATTACTCAGTGCTGATTAAATTGTAAGAGTCTCAATATCTGGTCGTCATCTAATTTTAAAAGGACAAACCTGTAAGTCAAATACTGCATCCATTGTTGCCCGGTATTGTGTTCTTACTCACCTTGAACTTTTAACAAGCAGAAATATTAACCAAAGGAGTTGAAATGATTAAAAATTATTTAAGAAAAATTACAAGTGGCTCTTGATTGCTTACACATATAAAGAGCCAAGGATTAGTGCAAATAATTATGTAATGTGGCTCAGATAAGGAAACCTAATCACTATTGGTTTTTTAAATATTTAATTCCCTAGTAGAAATTGTGAAGATATAATTCTTGTTGAAAAGGACAAAATGGCAAGCTATAAAGTGACAATTTTTCCACTGTTGTTTTACATTGCTTCTTAATGACTTCAGAACCTGCCTATCTAGGCAAGATGACAGACTTCACGCACTCATATGTTGGTCTATGATCTCAATTTAGAAACAAGACTAGTGTTTTCCCCCCATTCAGATATGCAATGCAATTTCTCCAATTCCCTGAGTTGTTTTATCACATTTATCAAGGGTGGAACTAGTTCTGGACTCCCTGTTCTAGCCCATCCATTGTTACTGCTCTCTGCGGTTCCATAGAGTAGGTGCCTGTGGACCAGAGAGAGAAACACTTTCTGGTCCGGTGCCATCGCATACTTGCTCTTAGGTTTGAGCCCATGTTGCAGCCATTGTATCAAGGGCTTTCTTCTTTTTTGCTTCCCCAACACTATACCAAGCATGAGGTCCTTCTTCAGGGACTGGTCCTCTCCTGATAATGTGTCCAAAGTACGTGAGATTCAATCTCGCCATCCTTGCTTCAAAGGAGCGTTCTGATGGTTCTTGGTTCAAGACAAATTTATTTGCTCTTTTGGTAGTCCATAGTATTTTCAGTATCCTTTGCCAACATCATAGTTCATTCAAATGCATTGATTTCTTTTGTCTTCCTAATTCAATGTCCAACTTCACGTGCATATGAGGTGACTGAAAATACTAGGCTCTGTTAGGCTAGGTTGTTCAGAGAAACAAATCCAGTGACACTCATCTACGTATAAGAAACCGTTTTATCTGAAGAAGCGACTTTACATCACGAAGGCACCCCAAGCCAGCCCAACTCAAGTCCTTAGGTCTTTGCAGGCAATTCCTAATACCCATTTAACAGATCCAGTTGTAAAGGCTGAAGGTTGGCAAGCTCTCTTTAATCACTAATCCTTCATATTTAATTCTATCACACATTATGTCAGTAACAGTAGGTGGAAGAAAACAATGTAATCCTAGTATAACCAGACCCTCAACACAATTCTAAAAATGGGCAAATTCAATAATTTCTCTTTTTTTCACTTAAAATATTATTAATTGGGAGTTGATACATATATCATATCATTCCATAGTCCAATCATATCAAGCAGTATTGTACAATTGCTACCACAACCAGTTTACAAACATTCTTTTCCCTTCCGGACTCCTTGACATCTTCTCCCTTTTATCCCCCTCCTCCCACCACCACCACTGTCCACCGCCCTCTCCCCACCCCCACAACCCTTCTTCTACTTGCTGTTCCTATAGGTTCATCAACCCTGGGCTTCACATACCGAGAAACAGAAAACATATACCACAGCTTCAAGAGGGTGACTCCCAATGACATAACGCCTCTGAGATAAAACCTAATATGAACAAAAAATATACAGAAAATGTTGAAAACCAGGTCAGGTCCAGCGTGTATCACAAGGGGGATAAACCGACAAAGTTTTGACTGCTTAACTCAGGTTCATCCCTTTGATCTTCAATACTCATCTCTCCAATGCGCTCTTGCTTAATAACCACTTTCCTCCCAGCCCTCGAATAGGGATAGAGGGAGGTCATCAGACGCACATGTCCTAGGTAGTTCCCACAAGTGTATTTTGGGCTCCCACTGTCATCTATAGCCTTCTGCTGGGATCAAATGGTCAAGGGAGGGCAAGTGGTGGTTGTCTCCTGAGTGGCTGCCAGGTAAATCAATTTTTTCTTATCTAAATTATCCCATTCATATGCAATATGGCCTTAAGCCCCTTGCAGGATCAAGGCAGGCCCAAATCTATTGTCAGCTATTTAGACTAAGCAGTCTGGCCCTGGCCTCAGAAAAGTTCAAGAGGCATTTTAGCCCCCTGATCTCCAATTTAACACCCATTACGTTCTTGTTCACCATTTCGGGTAGGAATAACCAAAGACAGCTTCTCAGAATCCTCAGTTTCTCTCCTCATGCCCTTTCCACTTAACAACTGAGTAAACTATGTAGTCATAGCTCACCTCTGGCTAGCCAATGAAGATAAACCCAAGTCCATCCAGCTGCCGTAACGCAGACGCCAGACAAGCCTCCACTCTTCATCTCCATGATTTTGTTTTTCCAGCACCCCACTCCACTGATACCCTAGCAAGTTAGGCTGTGTTGTCTAGAGAAACGAATCCAATGCCATTCATCTATGTCTAAGAAAAGAGCTTTATATTAAGCAGCAACTTTATGTCAAGAAGGCACCCAGCTCAGTTCAACTCAAGTCTCTAAGTCTGATGCTAGTTCCTAAGTCCCTTTTCAGACTCCCATAGCTACATGGATGTCACAGCATGGTGAGCCACAAAGCGGAAAGGTCACAGGCTGCTGCAGGCAGAGTCCCATGGGTCCAAAGTCAGTGAAAACATGCAGGGCAGCAGCAGTTCTCCTCCCGGTTGGCTGCAGTGTTGCAGAAAGCAGGAAGCCAGAGGGGCAGAGAGAGTAGTCCCCAGAGTCCCTTTCTCTTATACAAAAGGCTTATGATATCACAGAGATGGCATCAGGCTTCAACTGAATTGACAAATTTGTCTCCACCAATAGGCAGGAGTGTCCAGTTGATCTAATTCCCAACTACCACATGGCTTGGGTCAGAAGTAAACACATTTCTGGTTTTCTCTACTTTCAACCGAGAGACAGCTGACATTGGCAATGATATCCCTTGCTCCATGTACTCTTTGGAATCCATCCTGAACTTCTGGAAACTCCCTGTCAATGTAGTGCTACAATCATTGCTGGATTATCTTCAACAAACTTTTATTACATTTGGTATTTTTTGGGGGGGAAAAAAGGGTCCTTGTTCTTCCTGTTCATTTTGAGTTTATTTTTGTTATTGTTGTAATAAGCTGGAAGAGGTGAGAGAAATATGTGGTTTATG